GACGATTGGAACATTGCCAAAGACGCGCTGCTTGGACCGGCTACATAAACCTGAATGCTGCATGCTTGATGAATTCAATCATATGATGTTATAAGGCAGAAAGGTCAAAGAACATATTTAATCGAATGATCTGCTTTATAAAAGCCGCGTTCGGTGCCATAGCCAAGCAAAACTGCTTCTTACATACCGATCCTCAGCTAAAGTGGCTCCGAGCTGTGCCTGCTTTTCTGCGCCGAAAGGGCATTAGTTGCTAGCGGCATCTGTTGAGGGAGCTGAGAAGCAGAGCGTTGTCGCGAAGCGAAGAGCGGGGGCGTTCTCTCACCTAAACTATTCTTACACCGTGGTCGCGACCAATCCACTTCGCCCGCAGCGCCCTCTACTCCGTCAACGAGTGCTGCCTCGCCAAGAGCGCTCCGTCCGTCCCACTCAGATCCTTCTAGTACACTCTAACTACAGTGTACTAGAATAGAGGCAGTGTGCTCACTGCCCTATCCTTGCGGCGCTCCGCCGTAGCGCACTCTGTGTCGACTTCCACAATGCCCACCAGGGGCGCTGACGCTTGACGCTCCTGAAAAACTTCTCTTGGTTCGTGTTGGCCGTGTTGGCGGACGGGGCTGGTTCGCTCAGTTCAGTTCGATCGGTTCGATTGGATCAACGTGGGTACCCCGTGTGCGTGTTCTGTGTTTTATGCTTGGATCATTGTGTAGTATGTGTTCGTGAAGATGCCTAACCGCCGTCGAAATTACTGTTTTGCGCTCGGTTGTCGAACCGGGTACAGTCGTGTGCAGGATGCACCACAGGCGTCTTTGTTCAGCGTCCCGCGTGATGAAGAACGGCGGAAGGAGTGGGAAAGAAATCTCCACCGTTCAGATAAGAAACTGGATGAGTTTTCTGCAGTCTGCGAACTGCATTTCTAACCGAGGTTCGTTATCAAGGAGTTCGTGCACCATATAGATGGCAAAGAGGTACGCATTCCTCGTGATAAACTGATGCTGTCGGAAAACTCCGTCCCCACGATTCTTCCAAATTTGCCGCAGTACCTCACGAAGAAGATGCCAAAACCGAGAGCTAAAAGGAAGATGTGCGAAAATGACCATGCAGCCGCAAAGAAAAAGAGCCGAAGTGCTCTCGAGACTGACTGTACTGAATTTCCACGGGCTGCTATTGGTGATTCAGGGGAGGACTGCGACTTCACACAGGATGACGTTCCAGCGGAGCCCGAGCATTGCTTGTCGTTTTGTTATTGCTAAAAGACTCCTTCCAAGTAATGGTGCATATCAATGCGTAAATGTCTCGATTTGCCATTATTCAGCCTTTTTTTAACCCTAATATTTCTTGTGCAAATTCTTTCATCACTTATTTGTAAATAAACATTATTTCATCAATTTACAAGGATTTTTATCATTTCTTTTTAATTTGCTACGTCAATAACTTGATGGGTACACGAAATATGAAAATTCAGAGGCAATGAATGGAATGGACTCTGGCGGTGAAGGACAGGAGCAGGTGTAAATCAATGAAAGAGGTCTCCGTCCTGCAGGACCTGACAGGCTGTTGATAATAATGATGCTACGTCTTGTTTACAGAAATAATCACGCCACACACCAATAATCACCTAAAGTCTTGAAACAGCGATGCTAGAATGTTAAATGTCGTGCGTGGTTGTCATGGTGGTTAAAGTTTGGGTTTAGGGCGCGCATTCCTGCAGCAGGCACGTAATCAAGAAAAACCCGGCGTGGAGGCTGTCTAAGGCGTTGTACTGTTCAACCCAAGGACGTGTGTTCGATCCTAGCTGCGGTGGCTGTTCTCCTGACGGAGGAGAAAAACGAAACAAGCCGTGTGTCGGCATTTCGGCTGACGTTAAAAATTCTAAAGGGATCTAAATTAACCTGCAGCCCTCCGCTATGGCGCACCTCATAGCGAAAGTGTGGCTTCGGCCCGTTAAACTCCAAAATTTTAATTCTGACATTGCGAAAAAAAATGTGCGTAGTGTCTTTCGCACCTCGACATGACCGCTGCATTAGCGAAACCACTTTGAACATTTAAACGGCCGGAAAATAATACAATGTCAGTTGCTTCATGCCCTGCACACTGATAAGATGCCCCAAAAGAAGTGTCGTGCATTGCATGTCGCGAACGTTGCATAATTTCTGGCATTTCAACAATTGCGCTGTGGCTCTCTACTTCGGCGCGCAAAGGAGTTTCAGGTGACGCTGCGAGCCGCGCCGCCTCTCGGCGTCGACACGAAGTGGGTCCGCCGCCTGTGAGCACACTGCCTCTATTCTAGTACACTGTAACTCTAACCATAGTTTCTGTGTGGGGGTGGCTCGTGCGCCGCAGCGGGAGCGTCTATTTGCACCTCAACAGCTCGGGGTCACGTGACCCTAGTTGCAACGTCACGTATGACGTCATTGGTTAAAGCGATCGGCTTCAACTGGCTATGTCTTATTGTGACTACGTCTTGTTAAGCGACTCTAAGGTTGCTAAGGTTACGTGATAAAAAAAAAAAAAGAGGGAAGGCTTGTTTTGTTGTCATGGTTCGCGAATCCCCCAGCGTGGTTGTGTGCCTATAGTTTCTAGGATCTACTCTACTCTACTACGCGTGGTCGTCATCCACGCTGCGTAGTTCGTTGGCGGCTTGATTATGGCAGATGAAGCAATCGTACGATCGCATCTCCTGGACTTTGAGAGTGGCGAACACAACTGGCGTGGATACGTGAAGACCGATCAAGAACTGGAGCACCTAGAAAGAGCCCTTCTCGGCCTAGGAGTGTCATTCAAGGTGACATCCTCCAGGAAACATGCCGAAGAAAACCTACATAAGGCAGGAAAGCGTAAGTATATAAGCGTTGATTATTAAAATCTAAGGGCATTTCTGCTTTTTTTGTGATTGTTTAGCCATTTTCACGAGTATTACTAAGCGCGGTGATATGTACATGTACCTTACGCAGTTCTGTTAGGATAAGAAGTCTGAGTTTTCTTCAATAAAACTAGTTGTTAGAAAGCGCTTGTCCGGTGTGTATCTCTTCTTTGTCCCTGTGTTTTCTTGCGCGCTTCTCAAGGATAAAATCTGCGTTCCTTTGCGAACCCCATAGTTCACTATACCTCCGGGATTGACGCGCGTGCACCATTAGACAAAAGGGAGTGTCTAGCGTTACGTCTAGACGTAACGACAGCAGCCGTTGCAGTTACGTCTTTACGTAAGATTAAAGTTACGTCCAGCGTGACAACAACACAAATGCAGTCTGTTAGGCTCGCTGAACCGATCGTCTCCAGTGGCGCAGAGGGTAATGCGTCGTGCTCGAAACTGCGAGGACGTTGGTTCGAACCTCGCTGCTGTGCTACACTTTTTTTTCTTTTCGTTTTTTTTTCTTTAGTTCTTCCAGAGCGCCGTAATATTTTTTTTTAAGGAAATCGCCTTGGATAATTATTAAACTCAAGTGTGCATTGTGAAGCAGACGGTGGACGTAACCTTAGCAGCTGATTATCATTACGGCTGGACGTAACTACACTTTACGCAAGAGCTACTTCTAGACTTAACGATAGGAGCCGTTCAACGGCTCCTATCGTTCACAACCGTTCAACGCAGGCAGCGTCTGCTAGAGGTGCACGCCTCACGAATCAACTGCCACAAAAGCATTTAGAATCTGTTGAGTACGAGTGGAGTTAGGTTTGTCACACTCTGTAGGCACTTCCTCTCTTATTACGTCTCCACAAGCACGCTGGAAGCTAAGCAGGGGAATTTCGCACAGGAAAAAGAAGTTATGTCATGCGCATGTGAGCGCTTTCTTTTCTTCGAGCACATGGTTACCTTCAGTATGATATTGAGCAAGCGCACGGGCATATCGCGTTGCCTGTGGCAGCTTCTGTGACTGCTCGATGCTCAAACCAGCCAGTAGCTGTGGACTTGGGTTTATTGTATGGTCATATAGGCTTGTGGCATCATTTGTCGAGAGAAGAACGAGCGGTTTCTAGCCGACTTTGAGAACGAATTGTAAATTCCATGCCGTGTGCTGCACTATAATGCTTGGTTTACATGTTCTCGGGAGCACCGACTACCAGTTGGCAGCGTTTTCTGACTATGCCCGAAATGCGTTGCAGGGCCCAACTTTAGGGTTGGATGAAGCCAATTTTCGCTGTAATACATAATCTTGAAGGCCACGTTTTGGAGCAGTTTCTCTACTTGTAGCATAGCTGTAGCAATTACTGCAGTGTTCCAAGTACTATGTAGTAATGAGCTAAATTCACTGTTCACTGAGAAATGGCATTTTTGTGATATTAGTCTGTCTGAATGTTCCACTATTAGTGCTCTTGTACATAGTGCACTCAACAGTTAATGATGTTCCTTGGTGGTACAACCTACGAGTTCGTAGGGCATTCGTCTTTATTGCCAGAGCTAAAATAGAAGCAGACTGCATTCAAAGCACTATGTCTGTGCTGATCAAGCATGTTAACAACACCTTGCATTATATTATAATGAATGCTACACAGTAAAATTTGTAAAGCAATAAAAAAAAATTGTGTTCAATGTTTCTGCAGTGAAGCTTATGTTCTCCATCAACCGGGGAGCTGTGCCTCTGAACTTGCAGCTGCCCTTCAGAGTACTATCATTGACTGACAAAGGGTGCCTGTATGGAAAAGACAAGCACTCACACAAAGGTCAATCAGAGGACTCTGTAAGTAAATGAATTAAGATTGTTGTGTACAAATGAGACTACTGTTGAATGCTTATAAAAGTGATCTTCAGTTAATTGAACAGTGGAACATTTTATACTGCATTATATCATGTTTACCCTCAAGCATAAAAAACAAGTTGCTCCCTACTGCCATCTAATAAAACGCTACAATGAATAGCTTTTGCATTTTTTTAATGCTCATTGCATGGCTTCCACTCAGATGGCAGACAATGGAGGCCAACCTGATGTGGACTGGACAGCAGAGACGTTCAAGAAAAAAGAGTGAAACTCCAAAGCACAAAGAAGAAGGGATGCACAGCAACTATGCACATTAAGAAGGTTGAGGTGTTCCCAGACTTTGAGGTATGAATATCCATTAAATGGCGGCCATTCCATCTACATTATCTAGTTTTCTGTTCAATGCATTCAATGTGCATGCTGTTCAATTAAAGAGCTTCATAAATATTCTAACCCAAGATGTAGTATAATAAGCCTCTGTTTCAAGTGTTTCACCATACTTGTCACACCTTCGTATTGCATCTTGCGGTAAATGGTGCAAAAGCAGGACTCGGAATAGCACAAAAGCACTGCCCTCATGTTTTGTTATATTCTCAGCTCTCATATATAGCACTCTTTGCCAACACAAGACCTATTCATGGTGGGTTACGGCCGACATATATCTACTTCGTGGAGATCATTCAGGCTTGTGCACAATGTCCTAGCGACTATATTAACGCGATAGCGTTAGAGAGCTCGTTTCGCATAAATCCCGTCGCCGACGTCGGTAACAGCGTCGCCTGTGAGCGAAAAATCGAGAAAGGTGCAAATAAAATAAACAATAAAAATCTTCGGTCCCATTGAAGATCGAACCCGGGGCCATTTGCGTGGCAAGCAGGCGTCCTACCACAAAGCCACGATGTTACTTGCAACTGCTTTGGAAAAAAAACACTACATAAATGTCATGTAGTGGAAGGAGTCTCCTTAACGCATTTTGTTTGGCAGGTGTCGCGACGAAAATGAGCCCATTCGGCAATTTGTAGGCGCATTGGCGGGGCCATCAAACTACGTTTTTTGCGCGACGCCATGCTTCGAAAAAAGCCGGGATAGTGCAGCCATCGCCGCTAAAAACACAGACGAACTTCCAAAGAGCTCCAAAAATGGACAACTATGTCCATCTAGCGGAAAACATATCAAGCCAACGCCTCCTTTCTAGAGGAGGCATTGATCAAGCAAACAGTAAAAATTAGATAATGTGCTGCCATCTGCGAGGCATTGTGAGAAATATGTCTTGACTAGCACAGGGAAGTGCTTTAGATCGAAAACTTGTACCATTACTATAGATACATCGCGCGCGCGTCTATGTGCGTGTGTGTGTAACAACACACATTAATAAGTATGCACTTAGTGGTTGAAGTGCGCACTAGGGGCCAGATTTCGCTGTTGCGTTCAACTCTTAAAGGCGAAGCTTAAAGGTCCCCCAATTTTTTCGGCATGCTTGTGATCACTAGTGAATTAGGTGCAGCAATAACACTTCACAATGCTAGCTGTATTTCACTATGTTAACGGCGGTGACATTACTGTAAAGTCTGCATATCTTATGGTAGTGCTACATATTTGCCAAGAAAAGTGCCTTTGAAAAAATTCTTAACATGTTTGCGTAACTTGTTCTCTTGATCGCCCTTAGATTGCAGTGCAAGGATGTACGAAGAACCGGATCACCATGCTGAAGTCTGCTGCATTGACTAACTTGTCACAACAACTTAATGGAGACAATCCACCAAGGTCAGAAATGCGACTTTACGTCACAATAACAAAGATGTCATGCCACACAGAACATGACTTTGGCAACTTCATGAAGTATGGACAGACGGTGGACCACAGTATTATTGAAAGAATTTATGACCTCGTTCAGGAAGGCATTACGTCTGTGCATGAAGTGAAGACATGCCTTCGCTACTATGTACAGGACGTGCTCTTCAATGGCAAGGAAAAACCTGATCTAGATTGCAGAGCATTTTACCCGACATCCAAAGACATCCGCAACCATATTCAGGAATCTTTGAGGCAAGGGCACTGTAGCAATCTGGATCAGGAGAATGTTGCAATGCTGGTATCTGCACTGGAGAGAGAAGAACCAACATCAAAGGTGCTCTTCCGGCCATATTGCTACACAAGTGAAGCAAAAACGACAATCCCCGAGGCCGACGATGACCAGATTAATGTAGAGGAGACCTTGGCAAAACAATGCGACAGGACCTTGCTGTTCTGCTATGAGTCTCACTTCATGGCAGAACTACTAAAGCAGTATGGCAACAATGTGACATGCCTTGATGCCACAAACAAGACAACAGATTACAGCTTGCCACTGTTTTTCCTTGTTGTAAAAACACCCACGAATTACATGGTGGCAGGTGTTTTTGTGGTGCAGTACGAAACAAGTGCGTGCATCAGTGAGGCACTCAGTGTGTTTAAAAGCTGGGATCCTGAGTACTTGCCTAAGTATTTCATGGTGGACTTTTGCCAGGCTGAAATAAGTGCGATTTCTGAAGTCTTCCCACAGAGTGAAGTCATGCTGTGCAACTTTCACCGTGAACAGGCTTGGGAGAGGTGGATGAAAAAGAAGGAAAATGATGTCCCTCCAGACCAAAAAGATGCCCTGCTTGGTCTCTTTCGCAAAATAGCCAATTCAAGCAGCAGGGAGGAATTTGACGAGGCCTACAAATGTCTGAAGAACTCAGTTTTTTGGAGGAACGACAAAGTAGCTAGCTACTTTGAAACGCAGTGGATGCCAGCAGCCAAGATGTGGGTTCAATACCACAGAATGAAGTTTGGTGTCGTCGTTACAACAAACAACGGAACAGAGACACAGAACCGCATCCTCAAGGAGCATTACCTGAGGTGGAGTCACGGGAGAAGGAGCCTTTCGAGCCTTATTACAGTAGTGGTGAAAAAGTTTCTTCCAGAGAGCAAAGCGTCTTTATTCAGCAGAATGTAGAAAGATCGGCAATGTACCGCAAGTACCATGAATATGTGCCAAAGTACCTGCATAACAGACCTCCAAAAGTAATAAGGCATATCATGGCTCGTATCAACACAGCCTTAGACTATGAGCCTGAAGATGTTGCTGTATTTACTGAACCTGGCGTTTTTTCTGTGAAGTCAAGCAATCCAGGCTTGCTACACACGGTAAACTTCCATACACCACAGTGTACCTGCCAGGATTTTCTTCGACATAAATTGCCATGCAAGCACTTCTGTGCAATTTTTCGGTTTTTCAAAGAATGGTCATTTGAACAGCTCCCAAGAGAATACATTGAAGGCCCAATGCTAAGTTTGTACAGCAACATTCTCAGCACACCAGAAAGTGGGTGCATTTTACCGGCACTCTCTACCGAAGGCACAGATGACAACATTTTGCAGGTGCCCTCAGAAGAGGAATGTGTTGCTGAACTGCCAAAGAAAATCCGGGAAACTAGCAAGTTATCCAGGAGAATGATCACAGACACAGCCCACAAAATTACAAGTGTTGTCATCTACTGCAAAGATGAAAGAAAGAGAAAGGAGGCACATGAGCTGATGCTTCAAGCATACAACATTCTGAGAAGTGGGTGTGAGAGTTCAAATAGTGGCTTAGTCATTCGTGGATCTCCGACAAAGGGTTGCTCTGGCCAGGCAAGCACTACACAACAAGCAAAACGAATCCGCCTAAAAGCACTCCAGCATGCAAGACGCCATGCGGAGAGCTGGAAAACAAGAGGCAGAGTAGGCAAGCAAGCCAGCGAACTTAGAGCAACATTTAACGTTGCACCATAAACGTCTGATGCTCACGCGTGCGCCCCTTCATCGAGGGATAATAATATCTGAGGTTTTACATCCCAAAACCATGATATGATTAGGAGAGGCGTCGTAGAGGAGGGCTGCGGAAATTTCAACCATCTGGTATTCTTTAACATGCAATGACATCACACAGCACTGTCCTCTACCATTTAGCCTCCATCAAAATGCGACCGCTGCAGTCGGGATCGAACCCGCGACCTTCGGGTCAACAGCCGAGCACCATAACCACTGCTTCACCGCGATGGACCCTTCGTCGAGGGAAGGGCGACTTGTTGGAAAAGAAACTTCCCATGGCTGGCTTTGGGTAATCGGCACCTCCGGGACTTTCTCACAGCTGCAACAAATGGAATGTGTTGGGGGAGTGCACCTACGGTAGAGATGCACAAGCCAGGGAAGAATTTTTGGCTGCTTTGGCAGTTGTCTTTGAACCAGTGAAGAGTGTGGTCATCGGTGTCACAAGTAGGCAGCGAGTGTGGAGTGTCCTGTGCAACGAATAGAGTTGACTGTCCCGTCGGGAATCCTCGTCTACAGAAGCTGGCAAGAGAGTCGAGCGGCGGGCACCACGTCGATTCGTCTACGAGTACTGTAAGCTGGCATGGTTAAAAACAGCGCGAAGTAGACACGGACAAGAATTCACATAGGCAGCGCGGTCCTGTGTCAATTCTTGTCCGCGTCTACTTTGCGCTATTTTTAACTATAGATACGTACCAACTGGCTCGTATTCACACTCTTTTAAGCTGGCATGGTCTGTGAGGAACCTTTATTGAAATTTTAACAGCAGAGCTGTTCGAGCTATCCACAAACAGTGCTTGTCGATCAAAAACATTGCCTCGCTATGATGTCGCCTAGCATAGCCATGGCAACCAGGCCATCTGCACATCGCCCACAACCTTCACGAAGCTGTGCGCACCTGCCTTGATACTAAGCATGACCGTTCCTGCGCACTGACTTGTCACCACATTGTACCAGCAGGAGCCATGTCGTCATCATGTGCTGAATCTTTGCTTTCGCCATGGGTAGACGTAAATAAATCAACTTCGGAAGAAGAAGCCACATATAAAGAATGACAACGTGCCGCGAAGTGGGAATATGTTCAGACATCAAGCCGAAGAGGCTGCTACCAAGTTTCGCCATTAAGCGGAAGAGCCAAGGTGTGCTGCTTGGCAAAGGGAATACATACAGAAACCCTTGCGAGTACGTGCCCGGCCTGCATGTGGATGAGAGCTTCTATGGCAGGGTCCAGCAGAGTACTGATTCAGCGGATAACTGGTTTCGTCAAGAGTTTCTGAGCACAGAATTTGGGCACGCCTGTCACATCTGCAAAAACCTAGCAAAAACCTTCTAAAAACTTGAAAATCGACCAGCTTCACTGTCTTTTAAGTGTTTTATTTTTTGTTGCTATTTTATTTAGCCAACTTTGCATTTGAGTTGCACGAGAAGCTCTGCAGTATAAGCACAGTGTTTCTTTCTCTGCATTTATTTTCAAGTCAATCCTCTATTTTATTAACCTACCCCGTTGTCTGTATTTTGTATCTGTAGTTATTCAGTGTGATTTCTGGTGCCATTCTTTCTTTCATTGCACATATTTTTGTTTCCTCTTAGTTAACTGTGTGTCTCTTGCCATTGCCCTCTTTCTAATTAAACGGTTGCTTGTTCCTTATATCACATATCTCTGTATTCTCAATGAATCTGTCAGTCATCCTGAACATCACAACACACCCCACACAGGTCGACTGGTCAACGAAAATTTGAAATGTACCACTTCAAGACCTTTCAAGCATTGCAGGGCCAAGCCTGAAGTTGAAGCGTGTGAGTCTGCCAAGACGCTGTTGTTTGAGCAGCGGGGTCTGACCGAAGTGTGTTAAAGTGTACAGTGCATAAGTGTCATGTCAGAACTCATTATAAACTATGGTATTGTATAACAGGTGGCAGAGTGTTACGAGACTTGAACATAATGCATTACATTAGATATCTGGCAGTTCTTATTTTAGTACTTTTCTTCACTTGGAAACAATCAACATAGTTCAGTTGAGGGGCTAGTTGGTACTGAAATAAAGCCATGCAGGGGATAGAACACAAGAAGGAGTAGACAGGATTGCACTTGTCATGTCTACTTCTACTTGTGTTCTGTCCTCTATGCACCTTTATTTCAGTTTAAAGTTTGCTAATATTTAATTACATATAAGTTAGTTTATAGATGAAAATGTAAAACACACGTCTGCTTTGAGCATTTCAATTGAGCGGGAACTACAGTAAGTGCCCAGTCATGCCATACCGAACTCAAGCTTCAAGATACAGGTTCAGAAACAATGTGACAAACTGCAAGTAAAAACATACCCCTAAAGTCGCCTTGAATTCCAAGGTAATGCCTGCCAAGTATTTACTGGTAAGCACTATACCTCCTCGTGCATGTTGTCATTAAAGAAGCTATAGCTTTGCAGCCTCATGCCAATATTGTGGCTCAGGAACTACATATGGTACGATACGAGCACTGACGTACAAGAAAGTAGTGCTTCCTGAACTGACACTGTGTACTGCAACTATTCATGTGCGTTGGCAAATTCATAGAATATTGCAGTTGTTCAAGTGCGGCAAGTAGTACAAGATTGTGCACATCAATCAGTGAACTATGATGCAATGTACGTAGACTACACTATAAAGAAAAAAAAAAGACGCTAGGATGCGGGCCAAATTCACTTACGGTCTCCTGCTTCTTCCCTTAGTTTGCTACATTGCGCCACGGTACCCTGTTCTCTTTTGCACCTCTTCATACCGCCTCGCCACTCCACCAAAGAGTAATATTTGTTTGGGTTTAAAGCCCCAAGAGCAGATAAGATTATGAGGGACGTCGTAGTGGAGGGCTGCGGTAATTTCGACCACCTGGGGGTTCTTTACCATGCACCTAAATCTCGGCACACGGGTCTCAAACAAATATTTGCTTCCATCGAAAATGCTACCGCCGCGGATTCCGTCCCGCGACCTTCGGATCGCCAGCCGAGCGCCATAACCACTAGATCACCTAAGCAGGGACCAGAGCGAGTGCTCGTCTCACTGGCGAGTCAGGTGTGTTGCCGTGCGGATACGTAACGTAGTACAGTACAGGTCACTAGTGAGCACATTTGTCTAAAACACCGAAAAGGCACGCTCCGGACTGCGCTGACGGCAATTTCTGATTACAACTAGTTAGAAAGAGCCCAAATTCTTGCATGCAAAGCCGCTAAGGTTTAATGCTTGAGTGAGGGCTGTCAACTAGTTATCGGTATACATGGCGCCAGAGAGTGTTGGTGCGTGCCATTCCGGCATTCTAGACAAGTTTCAGTTCACGACCAGTTCACAGTACGCGACCAGCTCTCGTTAATATTGTGTCTAACAAAGAAAAACGAGCCCTTATAATTTCCACGTGACCTCTGTAGGTTGCACATGAAATTTAACAGTCGACTGCTCACTGGTTCTTCAGAAAATGAGAATCAGCTATCTGTGTAACGACGCGAAGCTCAACCGAATGGTCATCGGGAGAACTTCGGGCTGTACACCTGTAGACTTCAGTAAATTCCTTCGATGTAGAGCATATGGCGCTAACAGCGGTAGCAGCAAATGCCGGCAAACATACCTGTTCCTATCGCGTGCCCTAGCCTTCGTAGCGCCACACAACTAGGGAGCCTACATGACCGGCAGTTCATGTAGGCTCCCTACACGCAACCTGTGACACAACACACTTGGCACTCTCCTCGACAGCACTAAGTTCATGAGCGGCACAGTGGAGTGACTTCGATAACGCGGGCTTCCTTGGTCGAGCTCTTTAATCCAGGGCACGCAGCGTGGAAGTGTGGATGACGGTCACATGATAACTGGAACTCGTGCACACGAACCGTGATGACAACAAAACGCGCCTTCCTTATTTTTTTTTATCACGTGACCTCGGAGTCGCTTGACAAGACGTAGTCACAATAAGACGTAGCCAGTTGAAGCCGATCGTTTTAACCAATGACGTCATATGTGACGTTGCAACTTGGGTCACGTGACCCCGAGCTCTTGAGGTGCAAATAGACTCTCCCCGCCGCAGCAGTCTCTGCCAATATTCGGCCGGATGTCATGTGACTGAGCAGCCAATGAGGAGCGACCACAAACAGAATAAAAAAAAAATATTCAACCGGCGCCGGCAGAATAGACAATGCCCCTATTCTGCTGTCCGATGTCATGTGACTGAGCAGCCAATGAGGGGCGACCGCCGGCAAATAATGAAAAAATATTCAGCCGGCGCCGGCAGAATAGACACTGCCAAACTGCCGACTCGCCTCATCGGTCGCGAATGTCACTTCAAACATCCCAAGTCCATAGTCCTGCACACATTTCAACTCACTGAGCTCAAAACGCTTTACAAGCTTCCTGCAAATGTCGGCACTGCCGAAGCCTTTAGGCATGCGTGCATAGTGCACCCGCGGCCTAATCTGCGAGAGAAGGTTAGTAGCCATTGCGGTAAAACTACCACGAGGCTACCAAGTCAGATAGAAACTAGCCTAACCTGACGAAGTCTAGGTAAAAGCTAGCCTAACCTGACGAATTAAAAATGAGAAAAAGGGACAAAAAAAAACCTCACCAAAAACCGACGAAAAACCGGTGCGGGAGTCCGCTGGGTCACCGCATGCAAACAGCGAGTCTCGTCCCACTCGAACCAGCCAAAACCTCCTTCAAACGACGACGAAAGGGCGGCGCTAGTCCCACCAGGAGCGGGCCATGGTGCCGTTGTCAGATGGGAGCAGGCCATGGTGCGTCCGATCGCGTCGACTGACGCAGCGAGAATCTCCCCATTGTTACCTCACTTCCTTCAACCCCCCAGCAATGTGCGAAAGAAATTATGCTTTACAGAGAAGAAAACTTGCCGGCACGAAAGCGTCGCATCACAATAAAGAGAGTGCATGCACGTTCTCATGCAACAACGGTGCACAAGTGCAATTATATTGCAACGCGATGCAATACTGTGCTCGCTTTTACAAGCTGTTCTAACCATACAGTTCCTCATCTTATTGTTTTCACGTGTTCTTTTCTGAGCACATGTAGCACAGGGTTGCTCTATTTGCTCTTGAGTTTTCACCTCACCAGGCAGGACGCTTCTAAGCGTAACTAAATTCATGTTTCCGTAAAACGTTACGTGCTTTTGTTCTCGTCAAACGGCTTAATTTATACAAATTAATTTTGAATTCAGATAACGTGCAAACAAAACGATAGTTATAGCGCGAGACCAAAACGACGACACAGAGACAAGAAGGACACGAAAGACACGAGCGCAAGTTCGCAACATTTTGCATCTCGGAGGCTTTTGCAATAACGTCACCAGAGAGCGATGCAATCGGACCTTGTGTATTGCGCTAAATTTAAATATACGCGGCGAAAGTTCCGGGGTCACAGAATTCAGAGGCCTCATATTGCAATTACAATTGACATATTATGCAAAAAATAGGCACCAAGATGTCTCAAGACGCATAAATGCAATGAATAGGGTTGTTTCTGCGTTTTTCGAGCTCGCAGGTCGGTTCCTATCGCTCTCGGTCCGTCATCGCTTACGTGCGTACTGTTTTGATTGGAGAAGGGTGAAAGAAAATAAGCACTCTTACGTCTGCTCCATGCGTCTGAGCGCCTGTTTGTTTATAAGCGTCTTTTGAAGTTATGCGGACAAAAGCACGACGTTAAGTCCGGAAGGATCGCTTTTATTGTGTGAAGTGTGTCGCACGATCGAGCATCCCACATCTGCGTCAGCCAGAAGAGTGGTCAACAAGTTTTGCTGTGGCAAATTCTTCAAACATTTGCTTCACAGTTTCGTTTATCAACGAAATGCACGTACGTAGGGAAAGGTTGCTGCGATGTGTAAGATCTGAAGAATTATTGAAGCTTACGTGGTTCTTCCGAATAAACTGTATAAATTAAAAAGCGTGCTTCCACAGACAATGACCGTACTGTGGACCCCCGAAATGCGTCAATAAAAAGAAAATCAAGGAGCAACATTCTAGTTCAGCACGGATAATGTAGGGATAGAGCAGTCAATGAAACCATCCATCTCGCAGACACTAGAATCACGGCATGCACAGACGGCACGGTATTCATAAGCTAGCCAGAAGCCGTCCACTTCGGGCAAAAGATCGCGCCGAGAATGCCAAGCTTACGGTGGTTGCTCTTACAGCTTAGTTACCTGAAAGGTGCCATTTGCTACAGAACTAGTAATTATGTTCTAGTTGCGGTGTCGTGCTCACCCGAATTGGTAGATAATATGATGGACATTGGTTTTGTGGTGTGCCACGCTTTATGCTCTTAATGTAGCTTCCCGCCGGTGACGCGTAATCTAACCCGGGGCCTATGACAAAAACTGAGCCGACACATTTGCTCAAGCTCTAGACACCATCCACAAGTTGAAGACGGCTAGGCTAGTAGCCGAACTGAAAGCTGCGGAAGAAAAATATGGTGAAGCCAGAAACGAAATTTTCTTGCTTAAGGCTAAAATAACGCCCCTGGAAAGCAATTACACGTCACCCCATAAACACAGGTGTATGTGAGGTTATAGTGCTGAAGTGTGTGCTGTATCAATCTAAGTGACAGAAATTTTGTCACGGCGTAACAGATCTGAAAGTAGACTGTGGTGATCTAACCTCCTGTTTTGCACTGAACGACGAACCTAAGAAAGACTGGGCGAAATCTGAACGAAATATAATAGCCTTCTGCTCAGAAAAATTAGGCGTCACTGTGACGGAACGGCATTTGAACGTGTGCAACCAATAGACAAATATACAGAAGATAAGCGGAGGCTTATATTGAAAAAAAAATTGACGTTCTTTAAGGATAGATAACAAATGCAGTCGTTTGCTCACAATATAAAAGGCTGCTTGAAGATTTTCTATACGAGAAGATTTTTCACTAGAAACACGGCTCACCCGAGGGAAGCTGATCGAATTCGCGAAACACACGCACGCACACACACAACAATAAACGCTCTACGCATTGCTTTCAAGACATAAATTTATGACTTTGCGAGGAACATAGTTATCGCGCCGCGCGTGCGTGCGGAATCTACGACCAATTCATGCTAATACCGCATTGTCACTGTCAATCACTAACACATGCAGCATTATCTCGAAGCAGCATTTGATCTCTGCTTTTCTGGATGACAGTAGATCTGATATTGTCGCCATCACATAAACTTGGCTAAAGCCTGCTATCAGTGGTGAGGAAACTTTCACCTCATGTGTCATGTATCATATCTACAGGTGTGATCGCAATGGTTAAAGAGGTGGCGGTGTTTTGGTGGGCATAAGAAAAACCACGACTTCATTTTTCGTGAACACTGTAATTCTAACCTCGAAGTAGTTTGGGTTGCTTGCACTGTCCTTACTTCTAAAATCTTGGTAGGTTTATGCTATCGTGCACCGGAATTCGACTCTTTCTTCATTAATATGCTAAGCGGCAGTATCAACAAGGCACCTGAAAAACTTGAAACAGACATAATTTACTTATTAGGCGACTTTAACTTTCTGTTATTTGATTGGCCTACACTGTCATCGCCCTGCCACACGTCCAATAATTTTCCTAACTTAGCTCTAGATTTCAGGGCCAAACAACGAAACGTTCGTTTCCTCGGTAAGGAAGCCTTCCTTTTTGTGAGGCCGCCTTATGTCACTCCGAAAGCTTCCTCACTGAGGAGCCCTCGGTGAAGGCTTCCTTGGCGCTTCCTCAGCTTAAGGTTGCTTTGGGGCCACCTTCGAGCGCTGTTAGGTGCGCTCCTTGCCCTGAACGAGCGCTTCGCCTCACAGCTAGCCCACGTGATGTTTTCGTTTTCGAGGCAACCCTCCCACCCCACCTCTGCGGGGAGACGCGAGCGTGCGTGCACGGTGCCAGGCACGACGGCGCAGTAAAACAAGAAATGGCGTCGTGGGCGGACGGGAGTGCGGCTGACCTCAGGGATTTCTTGAACCGCGCTAGTCATTTCGCATTCGGAGAGGTCTACCGGTATTCACCGGCAGTGAGGATAGTTCGCGATGCGGTCAACCCTATGGAATTCTACGATGAAGAAGATTTTTCATTCAGGTTTCGTTTCACCAAGGCGTCTGTCATTGCGATCATGTCGGAACTACAGTTGAAAAAGAACACGGACCGAAGGGGAACCCTGCTCCCACCGCTGCTGAAGGTGCTCATCACGCTTCGGTTTTACGGCACTGGTGCCATGCAGACAGTGGTTGGCGACCTCGTGCGCGTCTCACAGCAGTATGTGTCGCGTTGTGTCTGGGAGATCACCCAGGTCATATGTTTGCGTCTGTTTCCCAAATATGTGCGACTCCCCGATGCAGCAGACGCGAATGCTGTGATGGCCCGCTTCTGCGCAATAGCCCTGTTTCTAGGTGTAACGGGGTGTATAGACTGCACGCACGTTCCGATTGTGAACCCTGGAGGCGAGAACGCAGAGGTCTTCCGCAACCGCAAGGGATACTTCTCACTCAATGTGCAGGTAAAGTGACACCTTCGTCTCATTTTTCTCTTTTCTTAACCTGTTTGATGTGTGTAACTTTTGCGACAGCGTTGTATAAACGCACGTTTTCAAAGCTGTGCCGTTGCTGTAGAAATAGGGTTACTTTTGTTGCACATGCCCATGGTGAAACACGCCATTCAGGTAACACTGTCTGTTGCCAATTTTTTTTTACGTATGAAACGTAAAGCTTCAGAATTGGTACTCTATTGAATGTCACTTTTTTTTTAATCGCCATTTTTTTATGCAGCTTAGCTTGCGTTGAACATGGTAGTGTGATAATCAGTAATGTCGCACCCATGACTATGTTGTGTATCAGTAACTTAAAATAAACTTCAGTAAATATGCACCATCAATGCACTGATCTAAATTGTATAACTGTCATGTAGGTTGATGAAAACCAAGGGTTGTGAATGCCTGTTGTATTAGCCACTTCTTGTCCGGGCACAGTGTGCTTAACAGTTGCATGAGGGTTTGTGGTGGGGAAGTGCACATTTTTAAAAATTTCCAAGTTACACACATTGAAACATCGCTGTTGCTTTTGTGTGCAACCATTTCTAAGAAATGCACAATACTTGATTCGCAGGCTATCACTGGTCCCGAGCTCCAATTCTTTGATGTAGTTGCCAGTTGGCCTGGATCTGTGCATGACAGCAGAATATTCACCAACAGCAGAGTGATGGCTCTCTACGAACAGAAGGCTGTACCTGGCGTTCTCTTTGGTGACCAGGGGTATGCGTGCCTACCATTCCTCATGACACCACTGAAGAATCCTCAAACACGACGCAGAAAAGACGTAACAGCACATGAACTTCAGCATGGAAATTATAATAGGTGCTGCTACTTGGCACAATAGTACTTCGAAGTACTAAAATTGCAGTGTCCCTTATGAAAACTAGATTAAAAACCTGCCGTTTATAAGATAAATGTCAAAAATTTCTTGGAACAAATGAAGTACCTGCAACTGTAAAAACAAAGAGGAAAGGTATTCCTAGCTAAAGCCACTTGAATTTTAAATTTGCTCCCATACAACCATACACATGCTTTACTGTAGTCTCTGAACAGGTTTACTGTCTGCTGTCCCACAGCCAATTCTTTCTTATCTCGAAAAGCATGCTGTACCCATGATGTGGACATGCCAATAACACAGGATGTATCAAAACACATTTAAAATGGAACATGCAAGTTGTTATCTTCAAAAACAAAACTGTTTCTTCCTAATAATTGTGTTGATGTATCAGTGGCTGTATCTTGACATGTTCACAAATGCTGTTCCACATAGCGCTTGCTGCTCATGCATGATTTGCACATTCTCTCGTTTTGTGCAGGTACAACAACAGCCAGATAAAAACAAGAAACAGTGTGGAGCGTACATATGGAGTGTGGAAAAGGCGCTTCGCATGCCTGCGGGTAAAGCTGCTGACGGACACTGATCGGTCTGCAGCTATCATAACAGCATGTGCAGCGCTCCGCAACATTGCCTGTTTGCGTCGATACCCATGTCCACTCTCTGATGAAGCACACCCCGAGGTTAATTTACCTGACAACCCTAGCCAAGGAGATCCCGACACTGTTGCTGGTGCAGAAGTACGCAGCTGCTACATCTGCCGGTGTTTTTCCTCTGAGAACGAATACACAGGTCCAGTGCAAACCTGAAGTGTCTACATTCAGGCGCTGTTTCAAGCGCTATGTTCCTGCTCTACGTCGTCTCTCTTCAGTCTGGTTGACTTTAAAGAGTGCTGCATGCATTTATCCAAGCAGTGTTACTTGCACCGCTGTGGTGTTTCAGTAAATGAAAAATTACATGACACAGCTCATATCTTTAAATGACTATGAAAAACTTCAAAACATCAGCTGAACAGGCACATGTACATTCAGACACTACACTTGGTGACGTTTAAATATAACATTTTAGACATCTGGTGTGTTATCTCCAAAACAATGTGAAAACAACTGATGAATTAACAACAGCAAGAAATATGCTTGCTGTTGCATGTTAATGTGACAAGTTTCCAAAACATGCTCTCAGATATTCCTTTATTCAGAGTGTGCTGCCTGCAGCTGTTTCCTTAGGAGCGTCTGCTTCAGTTTCTGTACTTCTTTTTTCTTTTAACATCCGAAGCTTGATTTTGTGCTAGATGTTGCAATTTTTTCTTTGCTCCTTCAAGGTGCTGATTTCGATCTCGTCGAGTGTGTGCTGCAACAGAGACAGCCTGCCTCCGCGGACATTCCGCACACTTGACCCAGCTGTTGGTGCTTCACTTTGTGCACCTGGCTTAGCAGCTTCCTCTTAGCTCATGTCCGCATGGACTTTGGGATCGTCCAAGCATAAGCTATCTTCACCAACCACGGATGGTGTGTGAGAGCTCTGCAGCATTAACTGCATAGCTGCTCTGTCGGTTTGGCTGAGTTCTTCTGTTCGGTCTGCAATAAAAGTGTTGTTTCATCAATGAAAGTCAAGCGAAGAAATATGAGGAAGCACCTCATGAAACAAATATCAATATTATTCACGGTCTTCGTTTACTAGATGTTTGTATACTTTGAATTGACAATAAACACCATTACCCTCATGCTCTGACAACAGCTAACTTATGTATACGATACTGGTGGGGCAGCATGCACAGCACGTGAAACATATTTCTATGCATGAAAGAAAAATTCCAGCGTGATTGGCACAGGCGCTGACCCCAATAATTGAAACAGAGCAATCTACCAGAATGTCATATTTCGTTTGTGCATTTCTGCACTGTTACTAGTTACACAAAAAAGCAGAGAGGTCGGCCTCAAGGTTGATCATGCATGTGTACTACTCTGCAATGGAAAAAGAGGCAAGATCGAACAGGGCATTACAGAGTGGCAGTGCAGATAAATCGGACAGGAATCTGCATGCATTTCCACATCGCGACAGCGTGTAAATACAACCGTTTTTCGTGACCTGTGGTGTGCTAGAAACGCCCACGTTGCCTGCAGAGGTTTCGACCTCCGTGGCCGCGCTATCGAGTTCACATAAGGCGGCATACCTTCATCACTGTCAGCTGGTCCATTTTCACAGGTCAGCCCGTCCAGAATTTCCGACGCGCTTTGGGCTGCTGGCGTGGCAAGCGGCCGGTCGCTGTCGAAAGGATTTGGCACCCGCGTGGTCAGGTACGGAACGATGGCTTCGATCTGCGCGAGCCTTTCGTCCATAGGCGGTGGTGGGGGGCCGCCTCCTGCAAATGCCCCAAAACTCGTAGTAGCGGCGACCTTTTTACAGAGAAGGGAAACATACCTGTAGTGAGGACGCCACGGATTTGCTTCGCTTTCTACCGCTTCCACCTTTGCTTCATGTTATCCCACAGCTTCTTTAGCTGCTTGACGTCCCGAGGGCACACGAAGGGTCTGCACAGAACACCTACCAGTTTCGTCCGTGCACCGTTTTTCCCATGCCTTGGCTTTTGCATTAATGGGTATTGCGTCCGTACGCTTATTTTCGATGACGGTCTTGTATTTCAGCACAAGGTCCTGGACGAGATCTTCCTCGTCTTCGGAAAAGGGTGTTTTCGCAGGCATGTCTGACTCGTGAAGCGCGTTTAGACCGACAGCGTTATGGCCACTATAACAATGTTTAAAGAGGCAGGCTTTTCAGTGTTGCTAGAATGCACCACGTTTTGCGCTCGACTACGGTGGCTTTTCACATTCAGTAATCGTAGTTGGGAGAAAGCGTACACGCGTCTCTATATTAACACTTCAATTTGGAAGTGATGTGGTGACCCAACATTTTCTTACAGAATAAACGCTTGTGAGCAAAGCTTATATTTGATAATCTCGAACACAGGAGCGCGGCAACCATTCCTCCCGCGAGGACGGGTTAAGGGAGCTTTCAGAGCACGCTTGTCAACCTTTTTCAAACTGTTCTGAGACCTACACGTGGTCCGCACAATCTACATCTTACCCTTTTGACCGATTCGGAAACAATACGTAATACAAACTGCTAGGACGGATTCAGTTACCTTAAGTTGCTCCGAGTAGATATAAACATTCCCCTTCCTGTATCCGGTGTGCATTTAAAATAAGTTCGGAAATATAATAATGGCAATTATCAGCAGATTATTTGTCTAAGAGCGTTGTTTTAGGAAAATACTCTCCTGCCATGTTTCCCCAATAGGTCCGTCGAAGAGAACTTGTTGCTTTGCAAGCAAATTTTGCGCACGTTAGTTGACAAGTATGTTTTACAGGTTGAAGTTGTCAGTGGTTAATCAAATCCATGGTTCACAAAAACTTCAGAAAATGAGGAAAATAAAAAAAAGTGGTTATACAATATTGCTAATGGCTCGGGCAGTTCTTCTTGGCTTAAATATAAAACATGCGTAAAAGCATATTCCGCAGCCTTAGGCAAGGCTAAAGGAAAGTATTTTTCTGTTGGTCTATCTACACATTTGAAAAACAGCCAGACTGAATTTTGGAAAGTGATAAATCCTAGCAGCGAAAACCAAGGCATCTCAATACCTGATTGTAACAACGTCTCTCTCCCAGCTAGCCAGTGTCCAACAGCATTTCATTCCTTTTCTTACTTCTTTCTTCCCGAAAGAGAACAGCAGCAATATACTCTACGTAACTGAGCTTGATTAACAATTCATGTAAACAACAGACATTCAGCCAGAGGTCACAAATATAGCCACGAAGAATCTTAAGTTATCTTCTTCATGTGGTGTAGTTGGAATCAATTCAAAGGTGCTAAAAATACAGTAATGGTCTCAAGCAAAATACTACTTCATGTATTCCGGCAGTCTCTCGAAACTGACAAGATACCGCCTGACTGGAAGCTGGCGAAAATAATACCAATATTCAAAATTACAAATAAACCCTCATGTGAAAATTGGTGTCCCATTTCACTTGCATGCATTTGTTGTAAAATGCTAGAACGCATCATCACTTCACATATCTACAGACATCTGTTCTCTAACAATTTCTTTTTCAAAAATCAACACAGTTTCCCAAAGAACTTTTCGTGTGAGATTCAGTTGTTTGAATAACGAACAAATCTTCATGCTAATATGAACAATATTTATCACACTGACTGCATGTTCCTGGACTACTCGAAGGCTTTTGAAGGGGTCGCACAGTGTCACCAGATATCGAAACTTTACGCCTTGAAATTAGACTTTTCTACAGAAATATGGCTCCGCAATTAGGGTTCCGCAAGTCTACAATTGCCCTTCTTCCCTAGCTGACGTTTATTCAGGTGTACCTCAAGGCAGCGTACTCAAACCACAATTTTTTCTCATATTAATCTATGATATGCCACTACATGTCTTTTCATCGATGAGAGTATTCAATGACGACTGCATCATGTACCGTCCATTCAAAAGTAGTGAAGATCACCGTCGTTCCAAAATGACCACGACGTCATTCATCGTTGGTGTAGCACATGGCTAATGATTCTAAATGTCTCAAAATGCAAAGTAATGCCGTTTACACATAAAATGATAAGATCCGCGTTTTCATAGGGCATTAATCAGTCTATTCTATCGACCGCAACGCAATATCAATAAATGGATGGTATACTAACACATAATCTATCGTGGTTCGAACACATTAGAGCAATATTTGCCAACGCTTCCGCATCACTGGGCTTCCGGAAACTTGATTTGAAAGCTGCCCCTTCAGACATTCGCAAATTATTTTATTTGACACTGCTTCTCCCGCAACCACAATATTCGAGTTCCATACATATACTCCCCATCACATATACTTAATTGATACATTGGAAAGAATCCGGAATAGAACACGCCGTTAATGACAAATAACTACAGTTCACACTCCGGTATATCGCATATGAAGCAGGAACATCCGTCGCGACATTGCTTTGTTGTCATTCTTTCATAAAATTTCCCACTCGTCCCGATTCAACGTTAATGGTCCGCAAAAACCATATCTCACCTCACGTAGACTACAGAACCATCTTTGTTGCTCTAGTATATGCGGCTAAACAAACACGTTCAATAAGCCCGCCCAACCACTTGCTATTCTTCTCTGGAATAGTTTGCCTGGCCACATTGATGCCGTGACAAACCATGATACATTCCGTCATACGCTCTCGAGCCACTTCACAAACTTCATCGACTAGATGTCTCATCATAGCGCAAAGATCAATTTTGGCAAGTTTTCAACCTACATGATCATCACACGATATTTCTGATATGGTAGCTAGGCCAGATAAGCTCGTTGTTGTTGTTGTTGTTGCTTCCCTGTGCAAATGGCTCGTACCCAAAGAAGATTGGCCGATTATAAGGTGAATTCGCCCTAAACTTTCAGCATTGCGTCATTCCTACAAATTTTTTTTGTAACTTAATTTTGATTTGAAATACCGATATCAAGTTTGCAGAAAAAAAAAGAAGAAAATAAGCTCGTTTTGACTTGCAGTTATACCGCTTGTCTTTTTTTTCTTTTTCACGCAGGGAATGCCCCCCGCTGTAGTGCCAGAATTGTATTGTTTTTTTTTTATCTGGTGTGGTATTAGTTTTCATATTCTTCATTTTTAAAATATAAACTCGTCTTTACGATTGTCACAGATAGGTACGTGAAGATTGTGCCTTGTAACGGTTTCTTTCTGTGCTTTAAATATCGCACCTCTCATCGTCGGTGACGGACGAGCTAGCAGCGATTGACATCACCCTTAAGTACGTTCAAGAAGGGTTACCAGCATCGAAGGTTGTCATCCTCGCCGACTCTCCTGGTGGCCTTAGCAGACTCACCAGCAAGGAGACCGACAGCCCTATTCTGAACAGGATCGTGGAATCCATTAACAATATTCTGTCACGTGGGGTATGCCTAGCTGCACTGTGGGTACCTTCGCACGTGGGTATTGCGGACAACAAAGAAGCGGATCGCCTTGCTTCGTCATGCAACCCTGATGGCTGGGACTGTCCAGGAATTCTATGTATGATAGACAACGCTCATCTGCTTATACGCCGACACCTCCTAAAGCAGCACCCAGACCAGCGTGTGGCGAATGTACTGTTTCCTCCCCGTGTTTGCGGCCTTGGCTTGCCTCGTCGTTCCAG